ATGAATTAATTCTTGGATGTCTGTGTGTCTAGGTAACCAGCCCTTACAGGGCACTACAGAGCCCAGAACCTGTTTCCTATGTCAACTTGCTCACAACTTTTTTTCAAGAAGCACTTCCCATCTGAAAAAAATGTTCAAAATCCTGAAATGAAAATTAAAATAACCCTGCAGTATCTCTTTACATGCATAAACTAGAAAATATGCTAAAACATAGAAAATTTCATTGATAGATGGGGGCTGTGAGAAAATAGGTATACCAATTCACTCCTGGTAGAGTCATCAATTTATTGAACAGTTCGGGAAAACAATTTGGAAATCACTTAGAAATTATGCTGTGGATTGCTGAATTACACAATTTGCATAGAACCACAGAATTATGAAATTTGCATAGTACCACACTGTCAAAGAAAAAGGGTACTTTGGAATATAGAATTACAATTTGGAATTACTAAATTGTTCTTAACCTTTGGCTCAGAGATCCCACCCGAGATTATTAGACCCCTAAGGAAGCTCTTGGCAGCAAGAAAAGAGCCCACATGGACAAAAATGTTTATAGTAGAATTATTTATGATAACAAAAAGGTAGAAACAACATACATTCCCAAAGATTAGGGATGGATTGAAAAAATATGCTGTAAAGATGACAAAAAGAATTTAGAGAAGATGAAGACTTGTATGAAGCAATTCAAAGTGAAGAAAGCAGAAGCAAAAGAATAATATGCAATGGCTGTAACAGTGTAAATAAAATCATGCATGACAGGCAACAACAAAAATACAAAATTCAATGTTAGTACCACACTGTCAGAGGTAAAGGGTATGTCTCAAATTTTAGTTAAAAATCAAGCTAATCATTTTCAGAAACATATTAGGGGGAAGAAGTGTTTGGGTATTTTTCAAGATGTATTTGTTGTATCAAAACAAAATGCACAAATACATTTTACTAAAATAAAGAAAAGTTACCATTCCCCTCCCAGTGCATTTTCCACCCAGCAAATAGGTCTGTCTGATCCTGTTGGCCCATAGATATTTTTGCAGCTTAGGAAATATTGGTTTTAAGTTGTGTTTCCATCTGCAATAGCAGGAGAGATGGGATAGACAAAATCAATATAGAGGACATGCCCCTGATGTTTTCTGGGAAAGACTAATGATGAGATTGGAATTTAATTAGAATTAGAGTGAACAGATGTCCAATTGGGGAAAATTGTAGAAATGGTCACTCTTTCTTCTCCGCCAATTGCTTTCTAGACTACTCACCCACATTCCTCAACAAGAGGTTATTCCTAAGAAATTGAGTGTGAGTCAAAGGAAGCACACCAGACAATTAGAAGCAGAATACATGGTAATAGAAAGAATACTGGGTGTCAAGTCAGCAGAGCTGCATTTTTACAGGAGTTTCAACACTTAACTAGTTGTTGGATTCTCCAAGTCACCCATCCTCCCTAAGACTTCCTTTACTTCTTTGCAAAATGAGAAGAGTAATATTTGTACTATCCATTTCACTAGGCTGTTGTGAAGAAAGCACTTTGTAAGCCTTAATGCACTTTATATAAATGTGAGTAATGGTTATTATCATTGTTAGCATCATTCCTTTCTAGCCTTCATACATCTGCCTCAATGCTTTACTTACACCTTGCTCCAAGCTACTGTTTTCTCCTGATTTTCTGTTTGGACCAACTCCAAACAAAATTGCCAAAAGGAACTGGTCATCATTTTTCAATGACCTCCTGTTCCTGTTGTCACTCCTTCTGAAATTCTTAAGTAGATTTTGAATGGCAGCTAGGCCATTTATTATCTATAAAATGTGATTAATAATAAATTTGATCCAATCTTAGGTTGTCCATTCCCTGACTCCCTCAATGAGCTTTTAAATCATCATCATTCACTCAATTATCTCGGAGCCAAATCTCATGGGAGGTGTTTATTCTTCTGTCAACCTGGAGTCAAATATATTTGTCTGGGCTGGCTATGAAGTTGATTCAAACCAAGCTCCCAGAGACAATAAAGGAAGTGAATAGATCACAGAACTTTGAATTACTGCTGGCATGGTATATGGATTTACAATTTTATTAACCATTCTTTTTGTTCAGGGTATTCTCCTCCGTGGAAAATATGGGTTCTGCATCATTTAATTTCCCCTCCACTGTCATAGGAGTGGTATGGTGGTGCTATAGGGGGATTTCTGATTTCAGTTATGACCTGGATCCTCAAATCATAATCACAAGAAACTCTTGCTTCCACTAAAGTACTACTTTTATGTGGAAGGGGCCCCTTTATTAAAAGCTAGTCCAGTAAATCACAAGCTCTAGTGCCAAGCTGGAGGCCTCATTTGCTTTTTTCATTTGTTTTTTTCATTTTTTGTTATTGTTGTTTTGTCACAAGTCATGAAGATCACTCACTAACGTACAGAGAGAATTGCAATTGCTCTCCATCACTGGGGGGAAGGCCCACCAAGATAAATAATGGCTCTTTTGGAATTCTGAAGTGAGAAGAATCAATTATATAGCATAATTAGGCTCTCTGTGACCAAAACCATGATGGAGGGACTTGAGATAGATTCTGGTGAGTTGAGTTTTTATTCAATCGGAGTGTTTATTTTAGAGTAAATTATACTCCCACAACTTCCTTTGTTCAGATTCTATCATTAATATTTTTATGGATGAATCTACCCTTCCTAGATCCCTCTCCTCTTCTTAATGTTTTAGGTATTCAGGAGAGGCCTATCACTTAACTTAATTCTCTCATGAACCATTTCATAGAAAGGATCTGAGAGTTATAAAATGTTTCAATGGCTTATTATTAAATTCTTTTAAAAAATAAAACCATGGCAACATGGCATGGCACGGCAACAGATCTGTACATAAAACTAGGAGTACTCAATATCAATATTAAAATGTATTTACACATTAAACAAGAACTTTTTGAACAAGCACACTGAAAATAAATTTATTAAAACAATGTAAATGAAAACCTGCCCTTATCTAATTCAGTACTTCATAGGTATCCTAACAGAACACTATACCCTTTTACTCAGGAGAAGAATAGAAAAATAGAAACATCCTATTTGATGTCTTGAGACTTCTCTTTTTTTGTAAAGAGATAAACTTACCTTTTTCTGCTTAATACCCTACTTTGAAATTACCAAACAAAACTAAAAGCATAATTCTCCTGGCCAATGGACAGCCTTGAACTCTATGGCCATCTATCATTATATATGCTTTCAGGACTATAAGTAAATTAAGCAAAGATTCCTAGTCATATAAGACATGCTTTGAGGCAGCTAGGTGACTCAGTAGATAGAGTGTGCAGGACTTGGAGTCAGGAAGATTTGAGTACCAATCCTGTCTTAGACACTTACTTGCATGACTCTGGGCAAATTATTTAACCTCTCTGAATCTCAGTTTTCTCATCTGCAAACAGAGAATAATAATAGTACCTACCACTAGAGTAACTGTGACAATGAAATCAGTTAACACCATAAAGTGCTTTGCAAACCTTAAAATGCTATTATTGTTATTATTATCAAGTGTTTTCTGATTTCCCCCTCTCCCTTCCCCACCAGTTAACATTCTTTCCCTTGATATTGCTTTGTACTATTTTGTACAGAAGTTGCATTTACTAATCTGTGTATCTCTTAAAGGAAAAGATTATTTTTTTTTGGCTTCATGTCATCCCCAGTGCCTAGTAACAGTATCCAGCATGCAGTAGGCACTTAATAAATATTTGCTAAGTTGACTTGAATAAATTCATACAGCATCTGGAAGCACATAAGTTTTCCACCATCAAAGAAACATTTCATTTGAAAAGCTTTGTGTCCAAAGGAAACTTTTCAGAATTGCTGGGGGAATAAGTAGATCATAGTAGTTGATATCAGAACTGAATTCTGGCTCTGCCACTTGCTACCTGTATTGCCCTGGGAAAGTCATTTAATGTTTATGGGCTTCAATTTCCTCATTTGTAAAATGAAGGAGTTGGACTTCTAAGATCTCTGTCAGATTTAGCTCTATGAACTATACATAAGCCTAGAAGCACATTAAAAATAACCTCTATGTTCTTATAATTGCAAAGAAGGCTGCCTTTAGAGTCAGATGGCCTGGGTTCAATTCCTGACTTTGACACTTAACACTTGTATGACCGTGAGCAATTCCTTTCACTTCTCTGGGCCTCAGTTTCTTCATCTATAAAATGGGGGAAGTGGACTAAATAGTTTTTAAGATTCCTTCCAACTAAAAAGTTACGTTGCTAAACTCTCTTTAGAACAAGACAAAAATCTAGGCAACTATTTGACTAACCTTTCAGTTGACTCATATATTTCTCCTTTAAAAAAAATCTTGATTGTTTAGCCTTATATTTTTTTCTCTTTTCCTAGGTGAATTATTCTCTGTCAACATCTAAGATCCATAGAACTTATGACTCTATTTCATAAATGTATGAGAGAATTCCCACTGCTCTGGGGGGTGAACAAAGTAATCATCTGAATAATGACAATGAATTTTCCCCACCTGAGAATTTGGCATGAAATGGAAAGAAAATGAGGTCACTGACAGCATGGAAAAGAAGAAACCTTTTCTATTTTTGGAAGCCCAAGCAATTTTTGATGGTATGCAAAGCGAAATATAGCAGAGGATTCCTGTTTTGAGAAGGAAGAGAGTTGGATCAATTTGTCTGAGAAAGTCACATCTGTTTCTATAGAAATTTTCAGTTTGGCCCAGGCTAAAAGTAACAATTATTTCTGTGGTTAGATATTCTCACAGGGTATACTTACATATTTGGTTTAAAAATGGGCCATAGCTCCAAGAAGCATAACCAAAGTTGTGTGAACAATTTCACACTTCATAAAAGAGGAGAAAAGAAAACAATAATATGTCTCTGAAATAGATTTTTTAAAAAGAGGGGGGGGAAAAAAAGACCAACCATGGCATTTTTCAGAACTTTTGGTAACAATAAAGTAGAATTTTTATTTATTTTGGGGGGTAGGTGAAGAGGAGAGAAGAAGAGAAATACCGTAAAATCCATGGCAGGCCTAGAAAGTAAAAGTTCTCCAAAGATCCTTCTTCATGGGTTCCTGCGTTCAGGAGTTGGACCACCTCCACAAATCAGGTCAGCAAATCCCATTGTTGACAAACTATTAGACAAAGTTCCAGGGATGATCAAATTGGTAAGGATGATAAAAGACAGAAAAAGTCAATGTTGGAAGAACTGTAAGAAAAGAGGCATACTAATACACTATTGATGGGGCTATAGATTGATTCAATCTATTAAACAATTTGAAATATTGTGAAAAAAGTCACTATACTGTCACATCCTTTGACCCAGTGATCATACTACTGGGCATATAACCTAATGAGGTCAAAGGCAAAAAAAAAAGAACCATATATGCCAAAATATTCCTAGAAGCACTTTTTGTGGCAGTAAAAAAACTAGAAATAAAGTGATTATGGATTGGGAGAACAGCTGAACAAATTATTGTATATGAATGTAATAGAATATTGTTGGGCATTAAGAAATGAGAAATATGAACAATTCAGACAGAGGAAAGTGCACGTGAACTGATACAAAGCAAAGAAAGCAGAATCAGGAGAATAATATATGAATACTGGTATGACAATTACATAAATATAAATAATATTAAAATGCATCTGAACTTAGATTAAATGGATTGCCAATCTTGGCCCCAGAGAAAACAGATGATGAAATGTGCTTTCCTTGACTTTGGTAGAGAGAGGATTGTAGGTATGGTATGTTGCATTTACTGTCAGATATGGTTGTTTGGGTGTGCTTAGATGTTTTCCTGTGTTATTAGTAAGGATTCTATTAGGAAATGTACGTTGCAAAATGATTTTTGTGAAAAGACCATAAATAAAACTAAACTAAAATTTCAGAAGTATCTGATTTGCCTCCCATTTTTCACTCTACATTAAGAAATATGGGGGCAGTTAGGTGGTGCTGTGGATAGAGTCCCTGAAGTCAGGAGGACCTGAGTTCAAATCCGGCTTCAGACCAAACACTTGACACTTACTAGCTGTGTGACCGTGGGCAAGTCACTTAACCCCAATTGCCTAAAAAAAAAAAGAAAAAGAAAAAAAAGAAAGAAAGAAAAGAAAAGAAACACATACCCAAAGTAGGAAAAATAAAGTGAAGTCAACTTACAGACTACTATGCAAATTGGGAGGTAGTATGGTGTTGTAAGAGCATTTGGAGTCAGAGGGGCTGGGTTCAAATTCCATATCTGCAATTTACTAGCTGTGTGACTTGGACACATTACTTTACTTCTTTGGGCCTCAGTTTCCTCATTTATAAAGTGAGGATGCAAAATGGATCTGTAAAATGCTCTAAATTCTAGCATTCTATCAGTCCCTTCCATAGACACTGTGTGGCAGTACTACTCTCCATACTTACTTCCCCAACCTCGGTATGAGGTAGTCTTTCTCCAAGCATCAATCAGGTTTTTACGCAGGTCTCAGGCTTCTTTCTGGCCATGAAAAGCACTTGTATGCCCAGGGATAGAATAAAGTAGTCAGCAAACAGTCTCAGCTCAAGATCAGAATTCACTAACCTCATTTGCTACTGCTGTTCTTGCTGATATCCTAGAAGGTGGGCCTTGTCTACCCCCACAGTTCCTGTCTCCTCCTTCCTGAACCTGATACTGCACTTGTCTACTCTCTCAGCTTCTTACAACTGGCTCTGGTTATCTGAATTTCCATTCCTCACTCCTCCTGGTTAGCCCAGTCCCATAACTGACCATGTGCCAGTGTGACTTTTGCTCAGCTTTCCTATAAAGTGATAGAGCCTAGGGTATATAATAGTTGGGTGAGAATGGTGAAGGGAGAAGGGAAGAAGTCAATCTGTAGTAGAGCTATAATGATTCAGAACTTTAATGAAACTCTTGTCCCTCATCTGTAATGTATATAGCTCCTTCATGTTGAATAATTATTATAATTTCAAGAGGACAGAACGATTTTCCACTCTCAGATTTTATGCACAGGACACAGGCCACTACCGTGGATTCCTCCCTCTAGTCAGGTACATGTTATCAAATGAAAAAGATCACAGAATTTTAGAGCCAGAAGAGGCCTGAGAGATCATTTCATCTGACCCTTTCACTACACAGATGAGGAAACTGATTTAAACAAGATAACAAATGTAAAGGGTGCTGTGCAGTTAGCTATAGATGACTGGTCTGAAGACAGGTGGCTCCCTAGTAGTCAAGGGAGACACCTAGATCTACAATCCCATATTCTTCATATTATACCAAACTCTCTCTGAGTGAGATTTTCATGGCATGAGCTCACAGTTTATATTCTCCTTTTCGTGGTGAGGAGGGAACTCAATACCTTTATTATTTGAGACTGATTTTGAGAGTAATTGGAAAGTATAAAAAGATGGACTAAAAGTCTTCCAAAGCAAACAGCAAGAATATTGGGAAGGAATCATTGGCCCCCATCCTAGAGGAAAAGATTTTTAAAATATGTAGATTTTATAGATTGCCTTCAGAATGAGCACTTTCAATTTCTAATACAATTCTTTCAATACTTCATATTAGGTTGTAAGCTCTTTGAGGGTAGAAACAGTCTGATTTAGTGTTTATGTCCCTGTTCCCTAGAAAAGTGCCTTTCACCCATACTTTAAGATGTCAGTGATTTCATTCAGATGAGCCACTCCTACTTTCATAGCAAAGTTTCTCAGCCAGTTAGCAGACAGGCTGTGAGTTGCTGTAGCAAAAGTTATGAATTGCTGGGTGAGCAGCTTTCTGGAGATGAGCCTCTCCAAACATAAAGCAGGTCTTCAATGGACAGCAGTTTGTTTCCTGCTTTGCCCCAACACTTTTCAGCTTGACAGGGACTCGACAGTTTGCATTCAACTGCCTGGTCTTGGAGCATCCAGGGGCTGCTCCATATCACAGTGAGGCATTAGAACAGAAATTTAGTGAAGGTCTTATAAACAGGAGGTTAAGAGAAGTACTTATTATCTTAGCACAGAGGTGGGAAACCTTCAGCCTCAAGGCCACATGTGGCTTCCTAGGTCCTTGGGTGCAGCCTTTTGATTGAGTCCAAGTTTTACAGAACAAATCCTTTTATTAAGGGGATTTGTTCTGTGGAGTTTGGATTCAGTCAAAGGGTCGCACTTGAGGACCTACAGGCCTGGAGGCCGCAGGTTCCCCACTCCTGTCTTAGGATAATTGATACTGAGAAAAAACACTTGAAGTGAATCTACTTAAAATGATGAACAATATTTCATAGCCATAAATGAATAAAAGGGTCAATTAGGACTTCATCTTTAAAAAAAACCCTAAACTTTATATAAATAACTATCTTCTATTTAACAAAATTGACTTTGTAGTTGCAACTATGTACCAGTTCTTAAGATGAACAAAGAATTAAACAAGTATTGATTTGGTGGGAATAATTTTTCTAAAGAAATTGTATGGTAGCATGATAAGACACCCTTTACTTCACATTTGACATTAGAAAGAGGCTCATTGTTGTAAAAATATTCAAAAGCTTTATCAATTTTCCCAAAGGCCTCTTTAAAAACCTTTGATACTGAAATCATTCCCTTTTGAAGTGCTTAACAACAATCAGTAAGAAACTGATGGGCAGGGATAGATTCTAGTATTAAGTGGGAAAGATAATTCATTCATGTGTGTGTGTGTGTGTGTGTGTGTTTGTGTGTGTGTGCATGTGTGTGTGCATGTGTGTGACTGATGACTTTTGTTTACCAACCTCAGACACAAAGTGCCTGCGTGATTCTGGGCAAATCACTTAAACTCTCGATGTTCCATCCCATTTTCTCTAAGACCAGAAGTTTCAGAGAAGGTTCCTAACTTCATTGTTAGGGTTAGTTTCATTACATGGAATTTGCTATACCAATTAAATCACAAGTCTGGACCAAACAAAAACCTCAGAACTGTGGTGATTCAGATGATGAATTCTTATAACCACATATTTCATAAACATTGAAGTCAGTTGCAGAATTTATATATATTCTTGTCATATTTCTTCACCTCTGTACAATATCATATATGAACTTAGGATGGAGGTGTCTTTGAGTTTGATTGATATGGGAATCTTTGAGTTAATGCTGATAATAACTTAAGCCCGTTGTTCAATAAAGTTTTATTTAAGATTTAAGCTGTGTTCCTAGGCATACGTGGTCCATGCTTTATGCACACTGTGATTCTAAGTAGAATTATATCTTGTTTATGTAGAATGGATGAGTATGTTATTCTTTTGAAATTTTCAATTAAGTCATTGAGAAGTTAATTAATAGGAATATTAGGAAGCATTCATTAAACATTTATCAATTACCTATTAAATCTCCATGATCGATTTTTCTTTTGTTAGTGGACAGGTAGTGATGCCTATTTCAGGACCTAAAACTAAAACATTATCTGGAAGCAAAAATTTTTCATATCAGTAAAAGAAAAATGTTCCAGTGTACTATTAAGAGATCACAGAGTAGCAAACTGTTTCTGCTTTTCCCCTTCTTATACCATGACTCCATCCTAAAAAGTACCATAACCCACAGGCCATATGTGATTGACCTGTGGTGTAATTTGACCTGCTTCTATCCCTTCATTTGCCTCTATCCAATCGAATCCAACAAGCACTTAGTAAGCATATGATATATGTGAGATCAAGGGCAGCTTGGTGTAGTTGAGAGAGGGCAGGCTTCTGAGTCAGAACTACTTGTATTCAAGCTCTGCTTCTGAAACTATACGTTTTGTGACCCTGGAAAAGTCACTTAAGTTCTCAGTGAATCCAGGAAACTCTCAAATACAGATCAGCTGAGAATCAGCAATGATAGAGGGAATTTTCTCACTGAGAATGTCTTAAACTGATCAAATCACAGGTTCAAACTTTCCTCAGAAATAATAGGTATAGTGTTTTCCTAGGTGCTGGAAAAACAAAGAGAAGAAGAAAAAAGCCCCTAACCCAAAGAGCTTACATTGTACTGGAAGAGCTTACATTCTATTGGCCATGTAGTATGATTTAAAACTTGCTGTGATTTAAAACTGACAAGCACTTTCTGAAGTTTTCACTTTTGTTCAATTTTCCTTGAAGTAATTAAGCAGTTTCCTTTCAAAATTGTAAAATGGACTTTTCATAGGTGATATTTAGTCTTTGTCTTCCACTTGTCACTAGTATATTTTTATACATAATCATTAGCTTTAAGATTATCAAATAATTGGCTATTCATTCCCTACCCTTCCATTATATCATCAATTGTGCTCACTCTACAACTAACAAACATGTTTTTTTCAACCTCCAATCAAGCATGACTCACAGGATCACAGACCTTTGAAGCAACCTAATCCAACTCTCTCTTGGTTTATTTATTGCTTAAGTTTTATTGATGCCTTTTGAATTGGCCCTATAAGAAAAGATGGGAAACAAACTGAAGGCATCTAATGTCCACATTCTACTGGGGAATTCTTTTGCAGGCATAGACAGTCCCTTATAACTCAAATTCTATGATTCCTCGAGTGCTCCTGGTTCTGCCCTCTGGGTCTATCCCAAACAAATTCAATCCTTCCCTTTAACTACCCTTCAAATATCATGTTCACCCTACATCTTCTCTTCTGCAGGTTAAACATCCTAGTTTCTTTAAGTCTGTCTGATCTTTATATGCAATGAATTAAAGGCCCTTCATTGTTCTGGTTGCCCATCTCTGGATACTCTAGTTTATCAATATACTCCAGTGCCCTCAATAGATCAATGACTTTATTGATGTCAATACCAAATCATCCTTGTCTGTCCATACTGTGTAACTGTCATCCATGCCCTTCCATAAATTTCACCCAAAATGCTGGAGGCCTTCCTTGTGTTCTCTTGATACTATTGTTATACTGGGGCTATTCATTGGCTGTTTCTCACTCTTGCTATGTGACTAGACCACCTTTGGTTTTCCCACTTATACATATCTCTGATGACATGCTATACACCACTTTTTTAGTGTAATTTCTCAATTGTATTGTGTTGCTGCCTGCTCAATTCCACCATGTGGCTCTCATCTATTGCCCACTGGAGAATCCTCAATTTTAATTCTTCAGAAATAATAGTTTTCTATGACTCAGAGTCAAACAACATCACTGGAAGGAACTGGTTCTTAAAAGATGAACCACTTGATTCAGGAATAAATTGGGGAGCAGGGGATGCCATTAAAAATATTGCCCAATTTTCCAAAGACAGCTCAATCCATTTACTTCCTTTTGTTCATTTCAGCAATGCCTGTCTAAGATATGTGTACTGATGAATGAACTTTACAGATTGTCCAATCAACTGCATATCATAGTCTAGACAATACTCATTTTTCATTTACTTGATTTTCTCTCATGAAAAGTTAGATCTAACTCTTTTTAGTGACAACGAATAAAAGGTATGAGGTTCTGCAGATCTCTATTTTTCTATATTCAGCATAATCTTGACCGTAAATAGGAACTCTGAGAAAACTTCATCTGGAAAAGATTCTTCTTGAACTCAGAATCTACATTAGACCCTCTCCATGATAGTGGGAAATGCCTTTGGTGAGTGCATATTTCACTTGTTATTTTCTTCAATTGATATAATAATCAAAGGGTTAATGTGGCATGGTGGATAGCCAGCTAACCTAGAAACCAGAAAGACCCTATTAGAACTTATAATTCTAGTCTCACTTTTAACATATAGTATCTATGTGATTCTAAGCTGTTCACTTAGCCTCTCAGACCCCTTTGTCAGTTTGATGAAGACTATGGGCCCCTTCTAAGTAGTTTTTAAATAAACAAGATAAAATACATTGGATTATAAAAGGAACCAATCCTATTGAAATATAGTTGACAATATTTTTAAAAATATTTTATTTTTTTAAGGTTAAGAACCCCTGCTCTAGGACTATGATTTTGGAAATCAAATTTGGACAGCTCCACCGGCCTTGATGGGGAAAAAGCTTGTTATGAGCATTTTTACATGTCCTTTCCATTTTTGGGGTATAATATTGCCCTTCCAGTTATATCCTTAGATGCCCTTGGAAGGACTTTACCAACTTCTTTTAAACTTATTTTCCCCCTATGGCTCCTTGATATTTTTTCAGATACAATTGCTCATAATTTTCTAAAAATCCTTTTTTGTAAGATTTTTTACAAATGAGTTTATATTCTAACTGGGTGCTGTCCTTGGGTGTTATCTATCTATACGTGTCCAGGAGGGTAAGTGTTTGCTGACTGGGGTGGGTTTTAGGCTCTTTCAATCTCTTTGTTATGGCAATTGATTGGTTAAACTTATGTATGACAGTTTTATTATTCATGTCAATGTTCTTTCCTCTATACTTTTCCCACTTTGGGGGTATCAAAAAGCTGATTAAGTGCTTCAGTGTGAATTGTTTTGATGAAAAATCATCTCTTTTTCTAATTTTTTTTCTCCTGAGATTGATCTTTGCTCTAAAAAGTCAACATTCTAAACGTAAAGAGATAGGTGATTTAGTAAAAACTCCCCAATATATCAGTTATAAATTGTTTCTTCTCTATTGAGATATAACAACTTTATTTTAATGATCTTATTTAGTGTCTACCTTATACAGTACCTTTTGAACTTTTCTGATTTTTAAAAAAGCATTTATTTATAAGTATGATATTTCTATGCAGTCTATGACTTATTGTCCTCTCTGATTAAATCAATAAGTATTCTTAAGCACCTAATGTGTGACAGGTACTGTGCTAAGATCTTAGGATTCAAAGAAAAGCACAAGATAATCTCTGCTCTCAAGGAGCTCACAATCTTATACGGCAGATAAACATGCAAACAACTATGAAGTAAGATATATAAAAGATAAATTGGAGATGATCAGGGGAGGGAAAACACTAACATAAAGGGAGGTAAGGAAAAACTTCTCCTAAAAGATGGGATTTTAGCTGGAATTTGAAGGAAGCTGGGGAAGCCAAGAGGTATCCCAAGAACAACCAGGGAAAACACATAGAGTATGGAAATGCCTGCAAAGTCTTATCCAAGGAATAGTAAGGAGGCTAATTTAACTGGATCACAGAGTACATGGTAGGGAAGGGAATAAGGGATGGAATGAGCATTTATTAAGTGCCTACCACATGCCAGGCAGTGTGCTAAGCACTTTACAAATATTACCTCATTCAATCCTCAGAACAATTCTATGAGGTAGGTGCTAGTATGATCCCCATTTTACAGTTGAGGAAACTAAGGCAGTTAGAGGTTAAGTGACTTGTCCAGGGTTACACAGCTAGTGAGTGTCTGAGGCTAGATTCAAACTCAGGTCTTCCTGAATACAGGCTCAGTGTTCTGTCCACTACCCCAATCATCTGGGGTGGGGAGTGAGGGAAAGTGTAAGGTATAAGAAGACAAGAAAGGTAGGAAGGGGGTCAGGTTGTAAAAGGCTTTGAATACAGAGCATTTTATATTTGATCCTAGAAGTTATAGGTAATCACTGGATTTTACTGAATTGAAGGTGGGTGGGTATGATATGGTCAGATCTGCACTTTAGGAAGATTAATTTAACAAATGAGTGAAGAATGAGCTGGAGTGGGGAGAGACTTGTGGCAGACAGACCAACTAGCAGACCTGATTGGCTTGAGGTGATGAGAGCCTGTGCCAGGGTAGTGGCAGTGTCAAAAGAGAAAAGGGGGTTTATGTAACAGATGTTACAAAGGTAAAATTGATGGGGCATGGCAACAGATTGGCTATGAGATGGGTAAGGGAGAATGTGGGATAGAAGATACCACCTGGGTTGTGAACCTGGGTGACCAGGAGGATGGATGGCAGTGCCTTTGACAGTAAAAAGGAAATTAAGAAGAGGAAGGATCATTTGGGGGAAAAAACGAGTTCAGTTTGAAACCCGCTGAGCTATGACACCCAGTTTGAGATTTCTAATAGGCAGTTGGTGATAAGAGACCAGAAGTCAGGAAAGAGGTTAGGGCTGGATAAGTAGATATGAAAATCATCACCCTAGAGATGATCACTGAAACCATGGGAGCCGATGAGATCACCAAGTGAAATAGTATAGAGGGAGAAGAGAAGAGGGTGAGTGATCCATGGGAGATTCCCTACTTCTGAATAATGTTTTGCAACTATATTTTTCACTGTCTTTCTTTATGTGCACCTTTACATTGAACTTCCTGAGTACCAAAGTATATGCTGATTTAATCTGTCTCATCAATATCCTTCCTAAGATGTTACATGTAGAACCAGATTCTCCAGAGGTGGTCTGACCAGAGTAGAGCATAGCCAGAATAGATGAGATTAATGGATCATTTAATCCAACCCAATCCAACATCTCTTTTCTTCTCCCTCTTCATTTCTTTTTCTTTTTCTTTTTTTTTAATAAATGTGGAAACAGACCCAGAAAAGTGATAGGACTTGTAAAAACTATCTAGTGGCAGAACTAGTT